CTCCGGCAGGTGAAGCCAATTCTGCCATCAGCCGGGCACAGCCAGGCTGGGTTTTCTGCCGGGGTGATGCATCTGCAGCTCCTTTTGCTCCGGCCCTGCAGAGCCCAGCAGGCTGGGGAGCTGGAGCAATTCGGGAAGTTAGAAATAGCGACTGAAGTGCTTCCCGGGCCTCTAAAACCCATTACAGTGGGGAAAAACTCCAAACCTTGTTTGTTCTGCTGGTTGGGCGAGGGAAGAGCTGCCTTTGGAGGTGGGCGGCTCCATCTCCTTGGCGTCAGGGTGTGAAGGTGCCTTTGTCCCCACGGAAGAGCTCGATGGGGCCGATCCTGCACCATGCCCGGGGGCGGAGGAGTGTGAAGGGGTCACCCAAAAATGTAAGTACCCAACGCTGGAGCATCCTTCTCCTGGGAGCACCTGCTGGGAGGGGAGCTGGGGGGTGCACAGGGGGAAAAAAAAAAAAAAAAAATTCCCAGCAGCCTTCTTAGCCCCTGTGCAGCCACAGGAGCTGGCATTTTCCACACTTGGGCTCTTGCTCAGGATTTTCCCCAGGGGGTTTGTTCCCGTCCCACCAGCCCCCCTCCCCGCTCCCTTCCTGGCCTGGCATGGACCGAGGGCGATGCGTTGGAAAGCTGTTTATTTTCCGCTGAAATCACACATTCATAGGGCAGATGTTGTGGCAGAAGGAAAAGTCAGGGAATTCCTTTTTGGTGGCATCTTTCCTGCTGTGGCATCCGCTGGCAGCGTGCAGGAGCTGTGGTTCCTCCTCCCTCCTCTCCCCTGCAGCCCCAGAGGTGCCTTTTTCCACTCCTGGTTTTCCTTTCGGAAATTATTTCCAGCTTATCTCAAGTTAGTGAACTGCCACGCGAGCGACTGGTACAGGGATAAAGACTCGAGAACCGGGGCTGGGGAGAAATGAGCCGCACCGGGGGGTTTGGTGTGGGAACGCGGTTGCATCGTGTGGTTAAGAGGAACAAGTGCTGCTGCGATACTGATTACAGTGGAAGATGAAGCTAATAACCCACGACTCCTCCCGAGAGCTGATTTTTTTTTCCGTGACTCCACCAATTCCAGCACCTTTGCCGGGAGGGCAGGAGGGCTGGCCGGGGTCTGTGGTTGGGGGTTCTGGGCAGGACTCGGATCAGTCACAGCTTTCGCAGCGATGCTGCATCTGGGGACAGCTGCTGTGACACCCCGGCTCGATCGGGTCTCTCTGTCCCACTGTTTACATCCCCGCCGAGCGAGGCTGAGCCAGCCGGCCCCGGAGCGAGACTGGCAATCGCCGGGGCTGGACCAGCCGCCCGATCCGACGGCAGCCGATTAAACACCGATGTATAACTGCTCCGGCTTGGGCAGGTTCAATTCTCCGCTGAGCAGACGCGGCTGCAGTGCTTCAGGACCTCATTTACCGGCTCGTGCTGACATTTCCCGTCAACGGCTGCACGCAGAAAACAGGCGTTTCTCCCCGGCTCGTGTCCCGTGTCCCAGCCGTGCAGAGCCACGCGCGGTCCTGCGCTCACCCAGCGTTCTTGGCCGTGCCAGTGCCGGCAGAGCCGGTATCGCAGCACTGGAAGCCAACCCAACCCTTTGACAGCCCAGACGCGGAGCTGGTGCACCCCTGGGGATGAAGATTCCCATTTGGGACTGGGTGTGGCTGCTCACAAAGATCCCTTCAGTTATCCATCGAAACAACAACCATGGGCGCTTTCCTCCTCCTCCTACTCATCGCAAAGTGTTTGTTTGACCTCCTGGCCTCCATCCTGCTCGGTACCGATTGATTCTGGTCTATTTTTGCCACTGAAAGTCCCTGGATCTGATGAAAACCACCAGAACCCGCTCTGCACGGGCAGCACAAGGACTTGGTCCCGCCACCCCGGCGGCATGCTTTAGGAATGCAATGAGTGGCTCCCCCCTGCTCTGTTTAAATGGCTCCTCCTGTGCGAGAAGCTTCTCCGAGTCGCTGGTATTTGTCACAAATCTCATTCTTCAGCCACCTGTACAGACAGCCGTACGTAAGGCACCAGCGAAGGACCCCTGTGTATCTTGCCAGAGCATCAAAGGACATTCAAGACCTCGGCTAACTCTGTGTCTGGCCAGCGGTTCCTCCCCAGACCCGTTCCCTGGGCTTCTGAGCTCTTTCAGAAATGAAACATCGAGAGAGACTGTCCCCAAGGCCACTCCTCTGGAGGCAATGTTCGGTTACCCAGACCCGGCGCTGTACGGTTATTTTCAACACATTTCTTTCTCAGACAGCTTTAATGGCAACAGACACAATAACAGAAAGCATCTCCAGTGTCCTGTCTGATCACAAGAAGGAAATGTATTGACTGTGAAGCAGCCTTGGCACGGGCAGGGAAACAGCAGCTCTCCCCCTCTGCACAGACCGCTCCTGATCAGTGCTCAGCGGTTACAGCTCCACGTCACAGGCGGGAGAGGCGTACAGCCCCGTATTGGCACAGGAAAGCAGACTGATTTTGAGAGAGAAACTAACAGGGACATTCAAAAGCCAACAAAAACCACCCTCCGACAAGATGCGAGGCTCGCAGGTCTTGTACCGCTGACACAGCGGTGATTCACCGTGTTGCTCGAGCCTTAAACAATAGGGTTTGCTCGAATGGAGAACCACAAGCGTGACTCTTGTGAGCAGAGAGCCCGGGGTGGGCGGCTGTGCCGATAAAGCCGATGGTGGAAACAAACCCTGAGTCATGACACTGGAGCTGCGCTGACAGAGCAGCGGCTGGCAGGGAAGGAGGTAACAGCACCGTTTGTACAGAGACGGGAAACAAGGGAGCGACTTTAAAAAATGTATTTTCACACAGGTACGTAACGAACATGGTGTGAACCCAACGGGCGTGAAGTGCTAGAACTGCCCCCACTGCTTCTGTCTGAACCGGCTCCGGCTGACAGCAGGGTCCGCTGCTTCCCTCTATCGACCTGCGGCGTCAGCGCCAGGACAGAAAGCGCAGCTCAGAGAAGCACCAGGCTTGGACAGGTACGTGATCACAGAGTCTCGGGTTAGTGATGAGGAACAACCCTCTGCGGAGTTAAACAGGATGAGGAACAGTTAACTGCTGGAACACGCTAAACTCAGAGGATTCTGTGCAAGTCTGTGATCAAACCAAGTTATCGTGGCCTCCCTGGCTTCCCGATTCAGAATCGCATCTGACCCTCTTCTGGAGAGGCTGAAGGAGGTGATGGACGGGTATAAAATGACCAAGAGAAAAAAAATATTCCCTGTCCAGTCCCTTCTATAATAGAGCATTTGGCCAATAAACTGGGACATTGTAGGGGCGTACGTTACATAGAGAGGAATGGTGAATAGTTACATTAATGGCACCATCACTTTAATGATTCCAACGATGGCTTCCTTCAGGGTCCAAATTCATGCAGGTGAAAAATATCTGTCTTCCTCCCGGCACAGCTCAGGGCCAGCTCAGACTGAAACAGGGAGACCTACAGAAAACACCACAGCAGACTTCACAGGAAAGGAAAAAACTGCCCAATGGAGTAATGAAAAAGGTAGAAAACAGGACAAAAAACTGACTGAGTGGTTTTATCTGTTCTATTCTAGACCATTACGTTTTCTGATGCTTCTGAACAACCGCTTTTTTTGTTTCATGTGTCTCCTGATGAATTAAAACCAATTCCCACTCAGACTGGAATGTTGAGGTTGCTACAGGTTGGGAGAAGATCAAAGTATGATTCCAGTTCAGAACAGGCTGCACCACAGGCGTCCCACTCTTGTCCGTAACAAATGCCAGCCGCTATCTCTGCAGGCCCAGAGCTGGGGTTTTTGTGTGTTGGGGTTTGGTTTTTTTGTTTTCTAAATTACTAATAATTGGCATTTTTGCTCCCCCCTCCCATTACTATCGCTGGATCCAGCTTCCCCAGGGCTTGGACAAGAGGCGGCTCCGCGGCACAGCTGGCGCGCGTCTCACTGCTCCGCAGTGGGAGGTTCCTCCTCGGTCTCCTGCTTCTCTGGCTGAGGGTCCGGAGGGATGAGGTACTGCACCTCCTCGGTGCTGACCGCCACTTTATCAGGGTGCAGCCATCGCTTTAGATGTTCCAGCGTGCTGAGGGAAAGCAAAGACACAAAGTGAAACAAGAGTAACAAAGCCTCAGGGGAATGTATGGACAAAGTGTCAGGAAAATCCTCTATCATATAGGTTTCTTTCACCTCCGTAGATGTTCCTATTGCCACACATAAAGTCTATCATGAGACATCTGTGTGCCAGAGGAGCAAGCAGCATCTTTCACTCTACAAAGACATTCTGCTGTAGTTGGGTTTGATCAAGTATGGTTAGAAAAGTTTTACGCTCAATCCTTCGCAGGTAAATCAACCTTTTTGTTCTTGAAGTACTAGTCTGCCTCTGAAGCCAAAGACTACGCTTCCCTTTCCAGCTTTCTGGGCTGGAAGTAAGAAAACGAGCGTTAAAGCAAACCAAACCAACCCCACAACGGCCTCACTGTGACGACGATTAGGGAACAGAGGGGGAAGGGAGGGGAACAAAACCAAAGCAGAGAAAAATGTGTGACCATTAACAACACCAAAGGATAACAGGAGAAAAAGGCAGCATGTGCACATCCTGGAATGCTGACCATACAATGGATTCGATAGATGTCTGTAAGGATATACCAGCGTAATTCCTGGCTGACAGCCTATCTCCCAATAACTGGTCTGACCAGAACAGATCTATTCCTGTCTTTGTTTAAATGCTGGTTATAACGCTAAAAGTTTAATATCATCATTCTTGAATGTATGCGCGTATGCTCATCTCCCAGAAGTGCAGTGCAGGTCACTCAGTAGGGCCACAACAAAATTAACTTGCTCTTGCTCTCTCCCAAGAGCAGAATTTCACTTGGGAATGACCTTGAAATTATATGTGTGCTTAAAAGTTAAGGTTTGTTTAATTACACTGGTGGGGGAGAATCAAATCCTTCAGCACCAGTTGGGAGTGACCTCTAACTCCACAGTCAAATTCTAGGGAGGAAAATCCTTTCGTGGATGACATCCCCAGCCTTTAAAAAGAGAGTAGAAAGAGCACATATGTCCACAAAAGCTTCTTTTAAAAATATAAATCCCATTGAAGTTAACTGGGCAAAGAAAGAGTCTAAAAACTCCTTATAGGCATGGATTATTTTTCATCCTTAAACTCCCAAACTAGCTTAAGTAGATTTTCTTCACGGGAGAAAAATAATCTTCTTTTCAGCTAGAAGCAATCATGAAAAATGTCAGCTCAGAAAGGAGAAATATGGGGAGCACTGTAAGTGATTGGAAATGTGAGACTGCTGAAGAAAAGGGCTCTCATCTCAATTCATGCATCATCTGGACAGGGTGATGGGTGAGAGACCAGCAGCACTGTGAGAGAGGCAGGGAGGGGAGAGCCACGTGGGAAATCTCATCTCAGGACTGGTACCAACCCTGTGAAGAGCTTCAAATCCCGCTTGTGTCTGAACCAGTGCTTAACCAGGCCCTTGCAAAGACCTAGGGAATGGCCTGGGGCTCACTTTTAAGCCTTAAAAAAAGCAATATGAGATGCAGTGGACATCCCCTCCTCCACTCCCTTCCTTCCCCACCCCAAACGTGACAAGGGAAACTATCAAGTAGGTTCCAGTTGTTCCCAAACTGGATCACCCCAGTCTGAGGGATGCAAAAATCAGTGGACAGCATTCAAAATTCAAACCCTACGTGCTCTGTGTGTTCCTGTCTAGTACGATGCAAATGGTCATTTTCAAACCGCTGCAGAAAGCCTGCGACAGCCTTCCCAAGCTGCAGTGAGATGTTATTTTTGTCACGATGCCCTATCACAAGTCCCGACAAAACCTTATTAAGAAATAAAGTGCCAGTGCAGTAAGCAGTAACCCCTACTCATCGACTTGCTTGTTACCTCTCATCAGAGTCGTGTCCCTCTACGTAAAATTCAGACTCGAACTTCTCCTGCAGGAACCTGTCCCAGCATTCCTTCTTAGCCTGAGCGAGAGTGCGCAGCATGTCCTTGGAGGTCACCTCTTGAGACAAGCCTTTAATTCTCATCAGCCTTCTCTCTGTGCAGAGGCAAAGGAGGGGTCATTATTATCTTTATTACGTTATTCAGAAAGGGAAGAAAAGAAGTACCTGGACTTCTATATCAAAAAAGTTAAATTAACTTTTCAAGACTAAGTCATACTTTAAAAGTCCCTTTCCCCCCTGCATTTCAAGTCTGCATGATTATTTCTTGTATGTATACCAGATTATATTTTTTTAGGTGATGCTTCTGAACGAAATGTTGAGTTTTAACAACTTTCACACTTGCTGTCCAGGAGAGACGATCTGCATGATCTGACATTTTAAAATGCAGATTCTAGCAGGTGTGATCTGGGAAAGCATCAGAGCTTTCTGTCCTATACCTGTCCCCCTCCTCTCCAACCAGAAAACAGGTCACAAAGAAAATTCACTTTTTACACTCAGAAGCGTCTCCTGAGACTCTGTAGAAACAATGAGACAACTACTGGCAACACAAAGCCACCCAGGCACTGTAACGAGTTCAGAATGCATCTCCCCTCAAGTCACCTGCAGGGGAACTACCTGCTGTTCAGAGAAAAAACTGCAGCGCCCCTACTCCCCTCATTTTGGGGGAAAAAACACAAATTATTTGGTTTGTGCTTGATAAAGATTTCCTTTGTGCAGCTGTGGTGGGTTAGCCCTTGGCTC